ACACTCTTCTTTCGTCTCCCAAATAAGCGTGATGGTAACAAGCGTCAGCGGCTCCCCTTGGACGGGTGTGACTGGTAGCACACACGTTCTGGAGGTCGGCGGGCAATGAGCATCATGGGACTTGGGACAGAAGAAGTCGGGGACCCCTGCCCTGTGAGAGCCTCAGTCAGATGCACCAGGTCCCCCTGCAGCAATAACCTTCCCTGGGACACCTTTCCTCCAGGGGACAGGGACGTGGGTGAGGCAGGGCCTGGCTGGTGGCCCAGCAAGTCAGCTGATGTTCAGGCCTCTGCCACCGACCAAGGCTTATAACATTTTACCCATTTCCTCACTGATGAGTGAGTGCAATAAAACCCTTGACACAGGATCATATTTCATCTGCGAGAAAACTGTGATTTCCCATTTTTAGAAAATAGCATCCTTCAATGCCTGCATCAGCTCTGAGACAGTGCCATCAGTACCCACCACAGGCCACAGCGGGACACGGGGTCAGGACACACTGTGGGGAGGGGGGAGGCGAGATGGGCCCTCAGGAGCCCAGGGCCGAGCTACACAACAGGGTGAATCCTAGAGTCTTTCCTCCAAAGAATGGGAAAAGCCTCCACAGAGTAGAGGTGATAGAGGAGTTCTAGCCTACGCCACGGAGATGTCAAAAAGAGACTCACAGTTAGTTACCAAGCTGCTGGCCTGAAACTGTGTGGTATGCCAGTGTAGGAGAAGGAAAAATAATTTTCCTTCTACCCTTCTCAGTTCTTCCGGCTGGTCTAACAGTCAAATGGGCATGAGAGAAACTAACAGGAGAAATTATTCCAGTTGATTACATAGGTACTAACAGGGATTCCCTAAGAATAGGGGACCTGAGTACAAACTGGGCAGTTGAGGTTTATATGGCATCTTCCGTTTAGGAAAAAGAAGGGTAGTGGTTTGGACTTTAAGGGAAGGTAGGCAGGGAGCAAGCATTTGATTTTTTTTTTTTAAATGGGCCCTGGCTGGTGTGGCTCAGTGGATTGAATGCCAGCCTATGAACCAAAGGGTCGCAGGTTCAATTCCCAGTAAGGGCACCTGCCTGGGTTGCGGGCCAGGTACCCAGTAGGGGATGCACAAGAGGCAACCATACATTGATGTTTCTCTCCCTTTCTCCCTCCCTTCCCCTCTGTCTAAAAAGAAATAAATAAAATCTTTTTTTTTCAATCCTTGCCATCCACCAGAAACAATGGAACCCAGAGAAAAGTCGAACAGATTTTGCTGGGTTCCTCCCAACCGTCTACACGTGGTTCATGTTATGCTGAGATGATAGCTTCCTTAATTTAAGCAGGTTTTTCTATCTGAGTTCCTTGATGCAGATAAGGGGGAGGTAAAAGGTTCTTCCTGAGTCTTTTGTCTCTTAAAAATAACCAGCTTAGAATAGTCAATAACCTGAAAAGGCATATTTGGAGGAGAGAAAATGCTGCCCCCTCTCCCTGGTAAGCAGCTTGTGCTTACCAAAGTGAAAACTGCCCCAGACAACATCGAGCAGGCAAGGAGGACTTTGTAAAAATTTGTTTTCACTTCTCAACTACAGTTGGCACTCAATATTCTATTAATTGCAGGTGAAGGGAGATTTTGCTCAAGCACGTTGCAATAGAGAGAGAGGCCAGAACTCAGTGTGAACTCAACTCAGCTGAAACGAAGGGCGGTGGGGTTTTCAAGAGCTGGGGGGATGGAGAGCTCCGTAGGTCATCTGTGTTTGCTAATCGGCTTCCCCCAAAGGAAAAGGAAACTACCTTGTATCTTCATGATAGCAGGTAGTTTTGTTTTGTGTTTAAGATTTTATTTACTTATTTTTAGGGAGAAAGGAAGGGCAGGAGAAAGAGGGGGAGAGAAACAGCAATGTGTGGTTGCCTCTCACGCGCCTCTTACTGGGGACCTGGCCTGCAACCCAGGCATGTGCCCTGACTGGGATTCGAACCGGCGACCCTTTGTTTCGCAGCCCAGGAGGTAGTTTTTTTTACTGCTGGGAAAAAGGCAACCACTGAAGATAAGCTCTGGCTCTGCTGGGGAAACTGGAAGATAGAGGTGCTCCCTGTTTTGGTGTTTACTTTTCAAAGAAATGGTTCCAGACCTTGAGAAAGCCATTTCCTGGGCAGTAAAACTGCCAAGAGGCTCTTCAAAGAAATTTACACACATCTTGGAGGAGCAGTCAAAGAATTGAGGGTGACAAGTTTTCTAAAGCAAGAAACTGGTGGGACTGGAAGGGACATCTGGAGCTTCCATGGTTAGGTCTTCTGAATTGTGGAAGGGCCGGGTGACAGGGAGGGGTGAGAAGGAGGTCAGGGAGAGGCAGGAAGAAGCCTGTCTCAAGTTCAGACAAGCTGAGGGAAAAGTTACAGTCGTTCTGGTCATGCTCCATAAGCCCAGTTTGCCCGGGTTCAAATCCGGTCTGCATTGCTTACTGGGGCAAGTTTCTCAACCTCTTTGGGCCTGGTTTCCTCCCCTTGTAAAATGCAGATGATTAACGCTTACCTCATAGGACAGTTGTGTAGCTTAAATGTGTTCATGCAAGCACAGCACTTAAAACTGTACCTGGGAGCCCTGGCTGGTGTAGCTCAGTGGATTGAGCATAGGCTGCGAACCAAAGGGTCCCCAGTTCAATTCCCAGTCAGGGCACTTCCCTGGGTTGCAGGTCAGGTCCCCAGTGGGGACCACGTGAGAGGCAACCACACACTGATGTTTCTCTTCCTCTCTTTCTCCCTCACTTCTTCTATCTATAAAAATAAATAAATAAATAAAAAGATTTAAAAAAACAACAGTACCTGGTACTGCTTGCTGTGGGTTAAGTCATATTACACTTCTGCACCTCCTATCATCCCATCTGAGAATTTATATGGAAAATAAAATGAAAAAATGTTTTAACTTCTAAAGAAATAGAAAATTAAATGAGCTGATGCAAACCCCCTGAGCAGAGGCCTGGTATCTGGTAAGACTTTTTAAAAATGACCAACATTCACCCTGACCAGTGTGGTTCAGCTGGTTGGGCATCTGCAAACCAAAAGGTCACTGGTTTGATTCCCAGTCAGGACACAGGCCTGGTTTGAGTGTCTGGTTCCCCAGTTAGGGGGCAGCAGAGATGCAACCAAATGATGTTTCTCTCATACATTCATGTTCCTCTCCTCTTTTTTCCTACCTTCCCCTCTCTCTGAAAAAAAAAAATCCTTTAAAAAAATTAAATAAAAATGACCACCATTCCTGTAACTATAGTTACTATTTTACCACTGCAATTTGCTCATGCTCTTAATTGATTTTCTGTTTTGTCATTCTAATCGTTATTTACTATGGCTTTGTTATCACCTCATACTACTCCCTGTTAATAGTGACATCAGTTCAATCCCCAGTCAGGGCACATACAAGAAGCAACCAATGGATGCATAAGTAAGTGGAACAATACATCAATGTTTCTCTCTCTCTCCCCAAAAAATCAATAAATAAAATTTAATTAAAAAATAGTACCCTGATAGGCGTGGCTTGGTGGGTTGGTCATCATTCCACAAAGCAAAAAGTCACTGGTTTGATTCCCTGTCAGAGCACATGCCTGAGTTGCAGGCCAGCTCCCTGACTGGAGGCATGAGAGAGGCACCTGATCAATATTTCTCTCCCTCTCTTTCTCCCTCCCTTCCCCTCTCTCTAAAAATAAATAAGTAAAATGTAAAAAAAAATTGACCTAACCAGTGCGGCTCAGCTGCTTGGATGTCATCCAAGTGAAAGGTCACCGGTTGGACTCCCAGACAGGGCACGACCTCCCAGAAAGGTCACAGGTTGGACTGCCAAACAGAACCTCCCAGTTGCAGGTTCAGTCCCTCATTGGGGCACATACAAGTAAGAACCAGTAGATGTTTCTAAGAATGAGTAGATGTTTCTCTCCTTCTCTTTGTCCCTCCTTTCCTCGCTCTAAAAATAAAGTTTAGAAATATTGACATCGGCAATATTACTATTATTACCTCACTATTGTCTTACAGCAAGCAGCCGCAAAGCCTGCCAGCCCCTCTCATTCCCAAGATAGGCTTTTCCTCCTTTGGGCCTCTATGCCTTCATCTGTCTTGAGGAGGTGGAATGGAGCTCAGGCTCCCAAGTCTTCAACAGGAAGCAAAGACTGACGCCCTTTGGACAAGTGGGACACAGTGGCTGAACCCACTGAATAATTAAGACACCAGACAGATGGCAAGGAGGGTGGGGCCTGGAGGCAGTGTACAACCCCATTAAACAAAGTTGCCCTCTGTTCCCCAGCATTGCTGAAGACCCCATTCACCCCACAACACTGGCTAATGGATTCACACAGTGTTCCCCTCCCCACTGGGATCACCCACAAGCTGGCTAAACCCCAGGAGATGAAAATAAGTCAAACCCAGACTTCCCCCAGGGCTGTCTCAGCTCTTCTAAAAGGTCTTGGCATTTGCCCTGGCTGGTGTGGCTCAGTGGATCAAGTGCAGACCTATGAACCAAAGGGTTCCTGTTTCAATTTCTGGTCAGGGCACATGCCTGGGTTGCAGTCCCGGTCCCCAGTTAGAGATGCCTGAGAGAAAACTACGCACTGATGTTTCTCTCCCTCTTTCTCCACCCCTTCTTCCCCTCTCTCTAAAAATAAATAAATAAAATCTTTTAAAAAAAGTGAGATAGACATGATGTCTTCAAAACACTGTACAAAGTAATTCAAATTTTATTGAGTCCGTTTCCAGAAACTGACCACACAGAGACATAAGGCACATTCCTTGACTTTGAGGAGCTCACAGTCTAGTAAGGAAGACAGACACTGAAAGGATTCCCGCAAAAATGGACGGGCAGGGCCAGCTGCCAACGGAGGAGGGAACCACTATCCCACTCGGCCCCCCCGGAGTCCAGGTTGGCTAGGAGAAAGGAATAGAAAGCTTATCATGGTCTCTCCCATCCTTCCTGTGACTATTCTGACTAGGCACCATGATGAGGGGGACGCGTTTGCTGCCTCAAAAAAGCTAGAACACTCGGCAGGATATATACAATGGTAACTTTATTTCCCGAAGCCGCAAACCAGTGCAGCAGCAGCCAGCAGTACTGGGGTAAATGGAAAAACTGGGACTGGGCCAGCCCAGTCCAGTGGTGGGAAAGGGAAGAGAAGGTGGGTACCCAGGGCCAGGGAAGGAGGGCAAGAGGGAGTTTTCCAGGTGGAGAAGCTCACAGCAGGGTGCCAGCAGCCACGGCCAACACAAGACCCATCAAGCCTGCCAAGGGAGCTTCAGAGCCTTTGTTATGGGCCCAATTTTTTGTGGGGTACTGCTCCTTATTACTGCGGTCCTGGTGACTAACAGCACCTCCAGCCAAGCTAAATCCCTCTTCCCGGAAGGTCTCAGGTTCTGCTTCTTTTGGAGGAGTCTGGCTGGTGGAGGCTAGAGTGGGCTTGGTGGCAGAGACGGTCGTGGTTGGGGTCGGGGTGGAAGTTGTGACAGCGGTGGTTGGAGCCCGCGTGGTGGGCGGAGCAGCCGGCAGCAGGACAAGCGGCGGGATCCGCGGGGAGAAGTAGGTCTTGTTGCGGAGGTCTGCGTTACAGCGAGGCCCCTTGCAGCAGGAGCCGCTGAGCGTGAATCCCGGGCCTGTCACCGCATCCCGGGTGCAGAACTCGTCCTGGACGCAGCCCCGGACAGGCAGGGATACAGTCACGTTGGCTGAAGGAGGGAGACACAGGCAGGTCGGTGACTGAAATGCGGGAAGGGGAGGCCCAGCCAGAGTGAAACTTAGCAGGGCTTGTTAATCTGAAAGTCTCAACTCGGGCCCCACTTTGAGAAACACTGTCCCAGTCTTTGGCTTATGATGAATCACATTTCCCACAGTACATTGAGGGGGAAAGTGAACAGGTTGAACTACAAGCCCAACAGTGTTCTGGAGGAAAGGTTTGGGCAGGGTACAACACCTCTCACATGACCAAAGAGAAAAAAACAAATGTCCCGTACCTCCCTCCCGTCATTTTTCACATACCTCTACCCCTAACACCGCCAGTATTTAGTCTCAGAGTCAGAACTCTATCTCCCCCAATACCCTGGCAGGGGACGGAGTTCGAACGTCTCCCATGATTCCCTGAGGCAGAGGCCAGGAGGCTGAATGGCACCTCTCCAAAGTAGTTAGGTGGGCACCCTAACCCCTTGAGTTTTAAGGAGTGGGAACTAGATTCCCGCAATGCCCAGGCAGAAACTGGAAGATTTAAATACGTTTCCCATTGCACATCCCTGCATTCTGTACTTAGCAGGCTTCTATGGAAATGTATTTTTCCCAAAAACTAGGACAAAAAGCATCCCTATCCCCATGCTACACTGGGGATAGGACTGCATTTCTCATGATATTTTAGAAAACAAGACAAGTCCTTGGGCCTACAGCTCCCAGGATGCGTTGGGGGTCGGGGGGACTTTCAGTAAAGGACAACCAGCGCCCAGGAGGCCTCAGAAAGGCTACAACTCCCCGGGGCTCGCTCACCTGCAGTCAGGGTGACGTTGCCGTCGAAACAGCCCTTGTAGGCGCGGTCGCTGGCGTTGTAGCAGCTCACGACCGGCGGTTTGGTACCCTGGCACGCCTTGCGGCTCAGCCCCACGCAGCTGTAGCACTCGGCGCCGTTGGGCTCGTTCGCACTCTCATTGCCTGCGAGGGTTGCAGGATGGAAGGAAGGGGTTGAGCTCTGCCGGGGGTCTCCACGGTCCACCCCTCCGCCCCTCGACGGTGCTGGCTCAGCCTGTAGCCCCGCCCCACCCTGTGAGCCCACCTCTAGAGTCCAATCTCACACGTGCCCTGTGGCAATGAAGTCCCGCCCGTGGACTCTCGGCCCCGCCCCCGATCGTGGCTCCGCCCCCAACCCCGTCAGCGTCCTCCTGCACGCATCCAGGGACCACCCTCCGCGGCTCAGGCCCGTTGTGGCTCCGCCCCTGGGCCGGGGGCTCAGCTCCAACCCACCTGCCGGGGTGAGCGCTTGCGAGCTGAGGTTGAGCTTGGCGTTGCAGCGGTCCTCCGAGCATTGCTGCAGCTGGATGAAGGCCAGAAGCCCGGCAAGGTCCAGCCCGCGGTCATTCTTGCCCGGGAGTCCCGAACCGCAGCCGCGGACTGCCAACGAGAATTGTCCGTGGACTGTGGAGAGGAAAAGACGGGTCAGAGGAGGCGAGACCCTCAGAAAGAGCTGATTGGAAAGAATGACAAACGGAGGGGCGGAATTTCCAAGAAGCTGAGTCCGAGTCTAGACAGGTGTGGCTCAGTGGGTTGGGCGTCCTTCCGCAAACGGAAAGGTCGTTGGTGGATTCCTGGTCAGCGCACCTGCCTGGGTTGCGGGCCAGGTCACCTGTTGGGGCCGCGGGAGAGGCAACTAATCGATGTTTCTCTCTCACACGGATGTTTCTCTGCCTCTCTTTTTCCCTCCCCCCACCCCTATAAAAATAAATAAAATCTTTAAAAAAAAGCAGAGTCCACGGATCTGCCAGGCTGACAGACACTGAATAGAGGGCTGGCTGTAATAAAAGGCGGAACTTCCCGCAGAAAGCAACCTCAGAAGGAACTGAAGACACTGAAAAGGGCACAGGATGGGAGAGGGGTGGGGCCTCCTGGGAGCAGTGGCCTCAGATAGGGGTGGGATGTGGGTTAGAGCGTCGGAGCCTCATTCTCCATCACCACTGGATAGAGGAGGAGAACATTCTGGTAGGGACAGAAATGGCTAGAGGGGGCCTCAGTGGTGGAGCAGAAATGAACAGGGTGTGGCCCTCCATCGAAGGGGGGAGGTCCGAGATCCCGGATCTCCTAGTTCACCCTACCCACTTCTCAACTCTCAGCCCCTTACCCCTCTGAGCCCTCTGAAGGGCGTGGTGGTGTTGAAGGGCCTGGGCCAGGCTGAAGGGCCAGGCTGACATGGAGGGATGGGGCTGCTGGGGAGGGTGTGGCCAAGTTCAGAGAGGGGCGGGACTACAAGGAGGTGGCGCCCGGCTGGAGGAACTTGAAGGAGTGGGTACATGGACTAGGGGGCCCCACTCACTGGTCTCCACCGCCCCCACGGCCTCTGTGCAGACTTCCAGTCCTGGCGCGCACTTCACGGTCTTGATCTTCTGTGGCGAGCACCCGTCATCTGCTTTCTGCACGCAGCTGTAGCACTCCAGAGCCTGCGCTCCTGGGGACGAGGGGCGGAGCAGAATGAGCGACCCCTAGTTAAGCTTCTTCCACCCCCGGCTGGGCAAGGAGAAATAGTCCTCCCCACGCCCTGTGTCCGCAGGATGAGACAATCCAATGGCACAACCTTTTCTAGGGCAGGAGTAAGGAAAATCTTCCCACAGATCTGGGGTCGTGGGATACATTGTGTCCCTCTCCTTCAAGCCCCCTAATGCCTACAGTTGGGACTACCTTTCCCACAGCACCTTATGCCCAACGTGGGGGGTCCTTAACCTGGGGCCCTGGGAGAACCCTGCTACGGACCAGGAGTGCCTTCCCACACTTCTCCACTCAGGATGGGATCCCTTTCCACAAGCCTCCTCTGACCAGGGCAGTGGACCTTCCCACAGCCCCTTCTCAGGATGAAAGAGCTTTCCCCACAGCCCCCACCCCCATCCCCCAGGGCAGGAATCCTCCGCACAAGCCCCCTCTGACCAGGGCGGATGGTCTTTCCCACAGCCCTTCTGCTCAGGATGCGGAGATCCTTCCTTCAGCCTCTATGTAGGGGCGGCGAGGGGACCCTCCTCCCCAGAGCCTCCACTCAACCCCCTCCGACCCTCCCTGCAGCAGACCCACCTTCTCGAAGCAGTATGGGCAGCAGCAGCCAACCTGTAGTCCAGATCACTGCCCGGGCACCTGCGTTCCTGGCAGGGGCCATGCTTCGATCCTGCTCCCTTGGCGTCCCCCCTCGGTGTGCCACTTCCCAACCCAGCTCCTCTTACCTGGGCCCAGGATGAGTAACCTCCCCCCAGGCAACCCTGGCCTTGCTCAACCGGGCCAAATCAGCGTCCGCTGTGGGCGCGGAACACCCGCCCCTGGGTGGGTCCCCCGCAGCTGCCAAGGAGTGAAATGGCAGGGCTCCAGGTCCCTGGCAGTTCTCAGGAGAAAGTCTGTGTGTTTGAGGGGTAGAGAGGGGAGTGCTGAGGTTCACAGAGGGGTCTACTCAACACTGGGCACTCACCAAATATTTCATGACTACCTGCAGCGTGCGGCTTTGGTCTGGGGGGCCTGCAGATTAAGACAGGACCAGGACCTGTCCTCACAGAGATCACAGTCTGATGGGGGAGACAGATGTTCGTCAACTAATCACACAAATTGTTATTTACAACGAGCACAATGAAGGAAAAAGTGGAGGGAGCTACAAGGAGTGTGGAGCCTAGAAGTGGGGACCAGTCTGTGAAGCTTCCCTGAGGAAGTAATGCCAGTGTTGGCCTCAAAGACAGGGAGGGTTTAGCCTATGAAGTAGATCAGGGTGGGAGCCAAGAGCATTACAGAGCAGAGGGAGCAGCAGATGCAAAGACCTACAGATGGGAAGTAGCATGAACCATTCAAACTCGAAGAAGAGCTGTGTGCCTGGAGCTCAGAGAGTGAGGAGAAAGGGTGGAAAGTGAGGCAAACGACCAGGCAGGGGCTAGGGCACCAGAGGCCCTGAGAAGGGATTTGAATTAATTCTGAGAAAGGTGGACAACTTTTGAGAGTGTCTCAGTCAGCTGGGGACACAATCAGATCTTTCATTATTATGTGCTCAAAAGCAGGAGGCCCTGCAAGCCCCAGCCGCATGGGAGAGTTTCATGATCAATCTGGGAAATAATGCAAATATCCATCAAGAAGGGAATGGAGCCCTGGCTGGTGTGGCTCAGTGGATTGAATGCCGCCCTGAGAATCAAAGGGTCACTGGTTCAATTCCCAGTCAGGGCACATGCCTAGGTTGTGGGCCAGGTCCCCAGTAGGGGGAGCTCGACAGGCAACCGCACATTGATGTTTTTCTTCCTCTCTGTCTCCCTCCCTTCCCCTCTCTTTTTTTTTTTTAAGAAGTGAATGGAAAAACAGTGGGTCACCTGTGGAATACTACACAGCAATGAAAAGGCCAACTAACAGCTTCAGCCACATGGATGAAGCTCGAAAACTTCATGATGAGCTCAAGAAGCCTTAAACAAAGAAAGCATACTTTATAGCTCCATTTATATGAAGTTCTAGATCAGGCAAAACTAGTCAGTGGTGCAGGAAATCACAGTAGGGGTTATGTTTGGCTGGGCATTGCCCCAAAGGAGCAATGGTGAGAAGCCCTTACAATCTCTCTCTGGGTGGTAGTTACACATGTATGCAAATATGTAAAGAATCACCAAGCTGTATACTTATGCAAGTCACTGAACGTACATTATCATTAAAGGAAGAAAGGAGAGCCCTGGCCAGTGTGGCTCAGTTGGTTGGAACGTCATCCAGTAAACTGAAAGGCTGTAGGTTTGATTCCTGGCAAGGGCACATGCGTAGGTTGTGGGTTCAGCCCCCAGTCGGGGCACATATGAGAGGCAACCAATCCATGTTTCTCTCCTTCTCTCTCTCCTTCCTTTCTCCCCTCTCTAACATCAATAAGCATGTCCTCAGGTGAGGATTAAAAAAAAAAGAATGAATGAAAAAGGACAACTGTTTCTGTGACCTTTGTATAAATAAGTACAAGACTCCAGAAGGGGAGAGAAAGAAGACCAGGAGTCCAGTGAGGGAACTGGCCAGTTTTCCAGGTAAGAGAGAGTAAGACAGCCCCTGATGGTTGGCCAGGGGCTGTCCTGGCACTCTCCGTGAGGTCATAGTGTTCAGTGAGCCACCAACACAGACCACGACCGTCACTCAGGGCCACACTGTGACCAGGATGGAACGAGATGCACAGGACCACTGCGTCACCACGTCTGAATACAGAAACAAAGAAGAGCAAACCACAAAATGACTAATCAACCCCATATCCTCACTTTAATGTAAGGGACTGCTTATATTTATTATATTGTGTCACATTAAAGTTACGGCTTTGCTCTTGCTTTGCTTCTCCTGGCTCATAGATAAGATTTACCCATGGCAGTGAAAATAGTGGCTGTGTTCATAAAGATGTTATCTGTTCCCCAGGCCTCGTTGGGCACCCCCACTCCCGACAGTGAGTAGCACCTCAGTCATAGGTGAGGTCACTTGGCCTCACGTTGAGAAAGTGAATGGCTGCTTGTGAGGTCACTTGGCACCAGCCCCCTGCTCTGCCTCCCAGCCTTGGAATCCGAGCCCCACTTATGGTTTGCTGTGTGACCCTGTGGTAAGTGTCTTCACCTCTATGAGCTTTCAAGATGTCTCTTATAATAAAGGAAGGAATGTCTTTCGTGGAGGAGTGAGGCAGCAGGCAAAGTATCAAGTCTGGAATTTTAATCCTGCCTCTGCCATCCTCCTGCTGTGTGACCTGCAACAACCGTGTCTCCTTCTCTGAACTTCAGCTGCCTCCTTTGCCGAATGGGTCTGAAAACCCCTATCTCTTGTGGGGTGCAGGGAGGCCAGCTGATAATACTATTATTATTATGTGCTCAAAAGCAGGAGGCCCTGCAGGCCCCAGCCGCGTGGGAGAGTTTCAGGGAGGAACCCCAACTGGCTGGACCAGAACAACTAGCGTCTTGGGAGGGAATGGGACCCAGGGTGGGGAGACTCCTCTTGCTCAGGCCTGCCCGGGTTCCGGGCATTGACCCCCGCCTGGCCCTGGACCAGGGAGCAAAGGGAGGTTTGAATGCAGGGCCTCTGCTTAGCCTGCTCAGTGACTCTTCCCAGCTCCTCTCCTCAGAAGTCACTGCAAAGAGATTTAGAATCCGGTTCTCAAGGTGGATGCACAGAGTCGGTGCAGAGGCAGTCCCCAGTCCTGGAGGTCATGCCAGGGCCTCAGACAAGCCTGGGGCCAAATCCTCTAGGGGGGTTTCCTGTCCCCCAGGACAGCACAGGCACTGAGCCCAGTGACATTCCCAGCCTGTCTCAGACTCACTCCCTTTGGGCTGTACCGTCTGGGATATGTCAGAGAAGGGGTGGGGTCAGGGGCAGTGCTGGCTCCATAAATTGTGGGGCTCAGTGCACAATGAAAATATGGCAATCTGGTTCAAAAGACAGGAAAAAATGCCTTTAAAAATAATAAAAATAGAAACCCTTTCTCCCACCATCTCTCTCCACCCCTCCTGGTGTTTAATGCCATGTTCCCTTGGGCACAGGGATGGGGTGAGCACAGACCCTTACAGGTGTCTAGAGACCCTGCCGCATAACTAGAGCAGACCTTGTTGTGGGCCCCCTTTCCACCAGCTGCCCGCAGCCACACCCCACCCTGAGATGCCGTAAGGCACTCATGCCTGACCCCAAGCTTCCATGTACACCCCGGCCCTGCTGAAGCCGCAGGGTGGTGGTGGTCACAGGGAGGGGGAGGCAGAGTGAATCGGTCCCAGGGAGGTGAGAGGTGGAGTCCCGGCTCCAATCCCCACAACTCATGCTTCACATCCCTTCAGACTTCACTTATAAAAACACAAGTTCAAATACAAAATTAAGACTTTCCAGACAGCAACCACAGAGCATTAATCCTGAGACGGTTCTTCTGAGCACACGACCTGTCAGCTGGCCACGTGCCATGGAGCTGGCCCCAGCAAGCGTCCAGTTTGCAGAGCGGATGAATTGATCCAAGAATACAGATGTCTCCCACCTGGGGGGGGGGCAGGTCAAGGAAGGGACACCTGGGATCACTGAGAGCCTGGGGATTAGGGTGTCAGCCTCCCTAGGACTCAGAAGTACCAATTCTGGGACAGGACTGGCAGGACACCCAGGACCAGTGAGGTCCTGAGGACATGGGAACCAGAGGGACTTAATGTCTCATTTCAGAGGGGGCGAGGGAGACCTGTCTCCAGACAGTGACAACCTAGAGGGGTCACTGTGGGGGAGCCTGGGGAACTGCGGAAGCCCAGAACAGGCACCTGACACAGTCTAGGGAACAGGAAAAGCTTCTTGAAGGAGGGGACACCTTGGGTCGGACCTAAAGGATAGTTATTTGTGCCTTGTTCACCATTATCCCCAGTCCTCAGCATCTTTCTTGTCAATTTATTAAAACGAGACATTTTCTCAACACCTAGTTTGCACAAGGCCCTTTGCTGTGCATGAAGGACTCAGTAGTGACGAAGACAGCCCCAGTCCCTGTCTTCTGGAGCTCCCACCCAACACGGAGACACACTCATCAGCAGTGATGACGCAGTGCAGTCAAGGCTGTGATGAGTGATCAGAGCCGGGTTGTGAAGCCCAGGGGAAGCATCTGACTCAGCCTTGAGAATCAGGGAAGGCTTCCTGGAGAAGGAAACATCTAAGCTAAAACCTAAGTGATGAGTAAGAATTGGGTAGAGTGGGAAAAGCGGTCTAAGAGGTGAAAGGGAAGCATTTTTCTTTGTTCACTTTCATGGAATGAAATGTGCCCTATGATGCTGGGGACACAGCAATGACAGGACAGCCCTGGCTCTGCCCTCATGGAGCTCCCAGTCTAGAACATAAATCACCAGCGATAACCTAGCTGTTCAGGGATGGAACAGTAGAACTTAAAGCAGTGCCTGACCCAGTCAGGAAGGGCTTCCCGATTCAGACCTGAAGAATGAGGAGCTCGCTGGTTAAGGGCAGGGCAGAGGGAATAACATGTGCCAAGGCCTGGAGGGCAGGAGCCTAGGAGCTCTTAGTAATTGTCACGAGCCCAGTCAAATCAGAAAGGGGGAAGCAGACCTGGCTGCTGTGGCTCAGTGGCTTGAGTGCCGGCTTGCAAATCAACAGGTCTCTGGTTCCATTCCCAGTGAGAGCACACACGCCTGCGTTGCAGGCTAGGTCCCTGGTTGGCGGTGTGAGAGGCAACAGACTGATGTTTCTCTCCCTTCCCCTTTAAAATCATTTGAAAGGGGGGTGGGAGTGGAAGCAGATAGACC